AATTTTATTACTAAACAAATCTCTCTCTCAATATATATATATATATATGTGTGTGTGTGTGTGTGTGTATTAAAATTTTACTAACTATATTTTATTTAACTTTTTCGAATTATTTGAATATGATTTGTTGATGATTCTATTAATAATTAATATATATTTATATAGACAATCATCAGATCATTAATCAAAGCACTCATACTACCGCGCAACGCACGGTTCCCATACTAGTTTCTATTCTAATGAGGTCGATTTTTAAAATGCTTTGCGCTTACCACCCTCACCGTCTTTCCTGGTTGTGCTTGAAAAAGAGCTATCGAAAGGGGTTGAGTAAATAATAATTTTCCCGAATGTTTTTATATACTTGTGTATTTTCGTCGAATCGGTGTCTCGCAATCGACCTGTCTATAGATCAAGGAGAACTTATTCAACCTTAGAGCAAAACTTGTGTTTCTAGAACCCGTCACTTCGAAACAAAAATAGTGCTAGCAAAACTAATGTTTATCGAACCAATGCCTATTGGATGTTATTTGTCAGATACAATTTTAGATTGGACTCAAGATATCCAGAACTACCTAGATGCCCAAGGCCTATTGGATGTTATTTGTGATGAGAATGATCGGGAATTTGAAGTTACCCGCGAAATGAATGCTCAGGCGATGATATTATTTCATCGTCATTTGTCAGATACAATGAAGTCTGAATTTATAGCAATCACCTCACCTAAGGCATTATGGGACTCTTTGAAAGAGTGCTTCAACCATCAAAAGACCATATGGCTTCCTGAAGCCTGCCAAGATTGGCTAAATCTGCGATTCCAAGACTTTACTACCATTATTGAGTATAACGTTGAAGTGTGTAGAATATGCTCTCTTCTCCACTATTGTGGTGAAAACTTGATTGATAATCATTTATTGGAGAAGACATACACTATATTTCCTAGCCCTGACAACTTGCTTCAGAAGCAATATCGTCAATCCAAGTTCCAAACGTCCCCTGAACTCATTACCCAATTATTATTGGATGAGAAAAATAGCATTGCTTTAATGAGAAATAACAACCCTCGTCATGTTGGGACAAAGGCAATTCCAATGCCTGATGCTAATAATGTTCGTGGTCCTCGCCCACGGTATGGGAACTAAGACAAGGGCCAGTCGTCTCGATAGCCAGTGACTCATGGTGAGCCTAAAACTCGTCTTACCAAGCGAGGTTCGAAAACTCATATGTACCGACGACATGTGGCCCCAGGCAATTTCATGCTAGGAACAACAACAACAAAAGGGTCAGTTGTCCCCAAAATAAGAGATGATGCTAATGATAAAATTATGTGCTACAAATGTGGTGGTTATGGTCATATGCAACGGACTTGTAAGGCTACCCCCAAGAAGTTGAAAACTATCATAAAGGAAGAAAAGGCGAAGCAAATGTTGTCGAAGAAAACGGAATAAATTTCTTGAGACCCCTGGTTTTGTGGCTCAAATAGAATAATAAAGATATGATAGTTTATCTTATAATAACCAAGCTGTTGTTTAGCTCCTGGATTATTTTTCTACATTTGGATTTGTTTTTTGTTTGGATATTGAATATCTCTTTTGAATTATGATTTTGTTTCTCTAAATAAATTTTTCCACGATATAATTTAAAGTTATTTCCTTGTGAATTTTTTTTAATGTGACCTACTTTAAATTATTTTTTACTTTTAGGCATGCATTGTGGGTCAGTTGATTGTCTGGTTGATAGTGGTACTACCCACACTATCCTAAAAAATAAAAGTTATTTAATCAACTTTACTGTTATAACCGGGTTTCAGATAACCTGGATCGAGGTAAATTATACGTGATTATTTGGTAAATTATAAGATGGCATGTTTATTAATTGATTAATTACATGAATATTATGCATATGTGACATCATGCATGATATGGTATGTATGTAAATATATAGATATATAAGTAAATAACCTATGTGTGATAGATAATGTGCATACGTGGTATATTATTTTATTAAGAAGATGGTATCTTCACCTTTAAGCAA